ACTAATTAGACTCCAGAAGATTTACTGAACTTTGGGAATGAGTGTGCAGACTCTGACAATCATCTTGCTTGGCCTTGGGCAAGGCTCCAAAGGCATTGATAAGTACAGCTTTGTCCGTATCAGACTTGGCCTCATTCTGCATATCTACCTTACTCCCATGGCCTGGCTTAGCCAAGGACAAATGGGGAGAGGAGATACTGTTATTAACAACAGGCTTATTATTTGGAAGACTGTGTAGATCAAAAGTAGCAGAGCTGAAGAAAGGGGTTACCTCTTCATCGCAAAAAACTCTGATTGGAACAATCTGAAAGGTAGCAAGAAATGATTTCATTTTAAGCAATGTGTGAGGTATAGTAGATTGCTTAAAAGTAAGATTTGTTTACTGCCGGGCAAGCCTGGGAACCACTCAACTCAAAAACTCTGTTGGAGACCCAGTGACTGGAATTAAGGCTGTTCAAAAATATATGGAGAGCAACCTGGTTTAACTGCAAGAAGCAAGTAAGCTTTGTTGAGGTAACTTCTTTAGCAGTTACATTGACACCTTTATTAGCTCGTGGTTTATTACTCAGTTCTGAGGGATGTTGCCTCATTAAGTTGTCTGTTTGGGCTTGGGCTTCAGTAAAGACAGAGTCTTTCTGTATGCTTTTGTATAAAAATCTCAAAGTCGTTTTTTAATAGATCCAGATTATTTTTAATGGAGGCTAACTGCTCGAACACTGAAATGACAGTTTGTGCTGGGAGCAAACATTGTTTTGCCATGAATTCAGTTGAGCTGTCCCATAACAGCAGCTTTTCCCATCCCTTACCTGGTACAATCTTGTTCTTATTTTCTTTAGAAGAAACTAGAGAACTAGTGGAATGGACGGAAGAAAGATGGGGGAGGGCTGGTGTAGAATCAGACCAATCTATTAAGTCATCTCTAAGTAAAACAGAAAGCTCCAGTAATTGCTGTTTTTCTATTTCTGTTTGTAAGTCCCATTCAAGAGCCTCAAATTTATTAGAGATGGGAAATGGGGTTAGTTTACTTACTGTTTCTTTTTGTAGAAAAAGTTCATCAATTTTTGGTTGTTTGGCTATCTTGGAAGAGTGCTGTGAGCCAGGACTGGCTCCGTGATGCTGCTTCCTTTTCTCCATTCTCTGAGTCAGAATTTTGTTCTCTTTTCTTCTCAATGCCTGACCCCTACCTTTTTTCTCTCCTGGGAAGTTACAGATGTACAAGTGATACCATTTGCTTACTTTAATAAGTCTTAAACAACATTAAACCAAAGAGGCAGGAACACAAAACAGGAGCTCTCAGAGGATGATGTTAATAGGTTGCCATCTTGCCCCAGTTTTTTTCCAGTATTACATGTCAAGAATACATTTTATTTTAATAATTTAGGACTAAAGACAGCATTCTTATGCTTCAGTATTATATTTAAAATCACAGCAGTTTGGCATAGCCCAAAGAATTGACAAATTAGCAAGTGACTTTCTTTCCTCCAAGTAACAGAATAGCAAGATTCACAGGATTTTCTACATAAAAAAGGTAAAATCAAGCCTCTTTCCAGTTCAGCTCAAATCCTTCTGATTATATAGACACATCCATGCAGAAGTGGTTTGCCATTGGTTTCTGCATTTTTTTTTTAACTTCCTAGTCTAGCCAACAGTATCACAATTCCCTGGCAGTCTCCTGTTCAAGTACTTACTAGGCTTTGCTTAGCTTTCGAGCCATAAAAAATATCTTATTCCAATCCAACTTTCCCCAACTGGTTCCCTCCAGTTATGTGGGAACTATGGGCCCCAGGATTCGCAACCATTATTAGGTTGTTTTACTTGTATATTTGTTCATTTTTATTTTATATATTTCTAGACTACTTTTCCAGATTACAACGAAGCTTACAGAATAAACCAGTGCCACAGTAAATCAAATCAAATTCTTTATTACAGGTTAATGAGCCAGACTAAATAAAATATATTAGATAAAACCTACAAATTAGAGCTACAGGATAGATCATATAGAGTAAAATAAAGCATATAAGATAAAATCTACATACTTGCACTATTTTGCTGTCAGCAATATACAGGTAATACTCGCTTAACAACCATTAGTTCAGCAACCATTTGAAGTTACAACAGTGCTGAAGGAATGGTAGTTATGACTGGTCCTTGAAGTTATGGCTGTTGCAATATCGCCATGGTCACATGATCAAAATCACATTTACAACTGCAGCATGCGTTTCA